TTTCTTGAATATATATATATATATATCTTTGAGGAGGAGTATTTTAAAAAAAACTAATTGACTACAAGGCTACAAAGATTTATAATCAATTAAAAGTATTAATGAAGAAAATAGAATAAAAATTGTTTAATCATATTCAAATTATGTTTTAAATTTTGCCACAATTCTTAACAACTTATGACTACGTGATTAGAGTTGTCAAAATTACTCTTTGTTCGTAAACGGCTCGTGTTCGGCTCGCTAAACAAACGACCTGAACACGAGCACATTTTTTTAGCTCAAAATATAAACGTGCCGAACACGAGCTAAGCTTTGGCTCGCTCGTGTTCGGCTCATTTACACCCCTAGTCATAGCCCATCCCACGTTGAATCTAAAGAAACAATTTGCCCCCATCTTAAAAAAGAGATTAGTTCTACTCTTAAATATTTGTATGAGATCTTTTTTTTTCTTGGAATTTATAAAAAGTGTCAAAATAATTAACCCTATAAATAGAGCCTGAAATCATCCTCATGAAAAATTAATACTCCAATTTAAAAATAATCAGAATTATTTTAAACTTTTTTATAAATTTTAATATAAATAGTGGGAATAGTGGGGATTATTTCGACAATTTACTCGACTTTCTTAGCCGTGTTGCTCCAAAAAGGATTTTCTTACCGCTTCAACGCCGTTCTTGCCGCTTTTATTGTTCTGGTCTCGGCGAAACGTCTCAAAATCTCGTCTCTGTCTGTCTCTCTCTTCTGTATCGATTTGAATCCAGTGATGGGGGGCTCTCACAGTCGCGAAGGTTTGGAGCTCTCCGATTACGACACCGAGTCGGAAGAAGACGAGTCGGGAACGGAAGAAGAAGAGTCTCCGGTGTCGACCGCTACTCCCTCCGGCCGTAGCACTGCCGGAAACCTGAAGCCGGACACCCCGGCCTCTGTCGATGATCTCGACTCGAAGCTACAGTCTCTTAAGCTCAAATACTGTAATTCCCCTTCATCGTCCACTCCAACCAAAAACCCTAACGTCAAGAACGGGGTCAAGCTCTACCTGCACATCGGCGGCAGCTTGCCTTCTGCGAAGTGGATTATCTCCGAGAAGTTGGTGACCTACTCCTTCGTGAGGCCTTCCTCCTCCCCCTACTCTTCTGCTTACGATGAGGACTTGGATGTTGCGGACGCGGAGGGTAAACTGGCTGGCTCCTCCTCTCCTTGGTTTTTAAAGATCGGGTCCAAGGTGCGGGTTAGGGTTGGGCCTGAAATGCAAATGAAAACGTTTCCTGACCAGAAGCGGGTTGATTTTGTTGCCGATGGAGTTTGGGCTATGAAATTCTCTACTTCAGAGGCTTACAGTGTTTTCCAGAATGAGTACCAGAGGTGTGTTTTTGAGAACGTCTATGGATTCGAGGCCAATGAGGAGAATACGGTTAAGGTTTTCGGGAAGGATTTCATGGCATGGGCAAAGCCGGATTCAGCTGATGATTCCATTTGGGAGGATGCGGTTGATAGCTTGGATAAACCACCTGTACATGCCTCTCCGTTGAAGCAGAACCAGTCGTTGCTTGATGAGTTTGAGGAAGCAGTTGATGAAGGTGGAATACAGAGCCTTGCCCTTGGAGCTCTTGATAACAGTTTCCTTGTGGGTGATTCTGGTATCCAGGTGGTAAGGAACTTTAATCATGGAATACATGGGAAAGGTGTTTCGGTGAGAATTTCTGGTCATGGGAATAACTATCCCGCTCCTAAGAGGGCTCTTCTGATGAGAGGCGAGTCCAACATGCTGTTGATGAATCAAGGTAATTCTGCAAAACCTCATGCTGGTGGAGTAGATCAGCTTGATATTGAGACAGGAAAGATTGTGGCAGAATGGAAGTTTGAGAAGGATGGAACTGATATTACCATGAGGGACATCACAAATGATAGCAAGGGTTCACAACTGGATCCATCTGAATCAACATTTTTGGGACTCGATGATAACAGGCTATGCCAATGGGATATGAGGGATAGGAGAGGGATGGTCCAAAATATAGCAAACTCAATGGAATCACCAGTGTTGCAGTGGTCGCAGGGGCATCAGTTTGCGAGGGGCACTAATTTTCAATGCTTTGCAACAACCGGTGATGGTTCGATTGTTGTTGGGTCTCTTGATGGCAAGATCCGGCTGTATTCAAAGAGTTCTATGAGAATGGCGAAGACTGCTTTCCCTGGTCTTGGATCCCCTATCACTCATGTGGATGTTACATTTGATGGGAAGTGGGTCCTTGGAACTACAGACACATATCTGATACTTATATGCACTATTTTTAAAGACAAGGATGGGAGAGAGAAGACTGGTTTTAGTGGAAGAATGGGGAACAGGATTGCATCCCCTAGATTGTTGAAGCTCACTCCATTGGATTCACATTTGGCTGGCAAAAATAAGTTTCAGAAGGGGCAGTTCTCATGGGTAACTATGTTTTCATCTTTTCTTGAATGCTAAAAATCTGCATACTCCATTATGTAGGATAGTGAAAAGCCTTATTTGTTCATGCGTGTCATAACTAAAATTTTTGTGCATTTGAGAATGATGATAAAGTCACGTGATAGAGTAATTGCAGTGGAGTAAACTTTGATTCTACTTGACTTTGTTTTTGGAGAGAAAAGGGGATAGAGCTGTTGGGAAGAGGTAGAAGGGCTTAAGATAGATACATTCCGAGAGGAGAGAAGCAAATAATGCAAGAATGGGGGTAATGTTTAAAAATTTATATCGGGCATTGTGGTTATTACCTTAATTGTGTCATAAGTTAAGTTTCAAATTTAATCGAGACAGATTCTAAATTTAAAACAAAAAAGTCATCGAATTATGAAACATTAGAAAACTCATAGTTCATAAAAAAAAAAAAAGAATGTCTTAATTTATGAATGACACATTATAAGAAGGCATACCATCAAAAGAATAATATAAGTTACAAGACTTTACTGGCCTATCGCATTACCTTGTTTGCATTTGGTGAATTTTTGCAAACTTTCTCCAACTTTTCATACATTAATAGCATAAATGTCAATTCCTTCTTTATTATTTGATCTTACAACAACACCTTCTTCATTTCCTTTCTAATCTTTGTTAACTACCAACCACTTCATCATTCGATGGCAAATTATCAAGAGTCATAGGATCATCATCATCTTTGTTTGTAGTTAACCTACATTGTGTATTTTTTAATTTTTTTATTGTACTTGACATAAACTAATTTGTTCATTGGTTCATCCTAGTTACGGCCAAACAATTTCTTCACTTTATATGCACTTGGTTGAATGTACTCTAATTTGATTGACATGTAAAGCTGAATAGGTTAGAGTTAAGACTCTTTCCAATTCTAGTGTTTCATCTCCAAAATGCACCCACCAATGTTCTATATCACGATTTAGAAAAAATGGCATAAGACTAATATTAATTACATATGCAACAAAGTTAATCATAAATTTAATATTAAGTATAGTTGATAGACATCTTATGAGATGAATGTGGTTTGCATGATGATTGGGCAGCTCTCATACCAAATATTCTTTTTTATGTGTTAATTTTTTAAGTTATTTATCAACCTTCTTAAATTGTCTAATAAACTTATCATTCTTTATATTTTTGTACAAATTAAATTTAATTTCTGTGCATTCCAAGAAACTACTAACGAAATAAAATGAGAATTTAGAAAATATGTAATAGAATGGTTGTCACAGTTCTGATTAATATTTTCCCAAATCACTTTATAAATTTATTCTCTTTCACCAAGTTTTGTTCTATTTATTCATTTGCTCTTTCTATGTTCTCATAGATAAAAGCCTATTGTAGAATTTTTTTTCGATGTCAACATTTTTCAACACTTCAATTGAAGGTTTTGTGGTTTTAAGAGCGTAGATCATACTCTGCAAGAAAGTAGTATCCCTTAAGATAATTTTTTTCCTATGTTTTCCTTTGTATTTTCGGATTATTCACTCTTTTGGTAACTAAACATTGCCTCTAATTGATTCCTCATGATTTTTTTGTGAAATCAAATAGACAGTAGCAAATCTTGTAATTATCGGTTCAATTAGATCTTTATCAGTAAACTATCTCAATAAATTAAATACCCAATCATAGTTGTGGATAAAATTTCTTTTTTTGTTTCATCAAAGCCCTTTTATGTTGTGGAAAATGTCCCAGCTATTCTAGCATCAAATCAAGGCAATGGTTTGCAAATGGCGTTTAGCATAGATGTTTTTTTCCCTTAGCATCCTCCCTACTGTCTTATATGCACCTGTATTAGCTATTACAATATGAACTAGATGTTCTTCAGCTTCCTCAATAATATCAAACAATTTGAATAACAATGTTGCATCTTTAATAAATTGATACACATCAACACATATTAAAAACACCTCTCCTTTAATATTTTTTTTTATTAGAAAGTTGATCAAGTTTTGACCTATTCTGTCTTTGTAACCATCGATAGTATTGAAACTCCTATTTATGCCTATATTTTCTTTATTCTTGAGCCATCCTGTCAGTAGCTTTCACTTCTTCCTTCAATATCATTTTTCAAAGCTCAGACATGCTTGGAGGTTTCATTCCTTGACTATAATTCCCGATGGAGCCTATAATATTGAAAAAATACGGAATCCTCGCAGCATTAAAAGGAAACCCTTTTTCATAAAAAAAAAAATTTATGATATTCATACAAATTTAATTCTAATGTTCTTTAAAGGAATTCTTGGGCTTTGATATTTAACTGCATGATCTTAAATCTTCAATAAATTTGACCTTGTAATTCCTCTGGTTAAAATAATGGTACTATTGTCATCACTAGTAGGACCACTAATAGGATTACTAGTAGGAACAAAAGATCCGTAACCTAATGTACTGATATCGATCTACTCTCAATCATTTTATCTATCTGTAGGTTTTAATGCTTTATCGTGGCAAAGACATTTAAATAGTTGATTATCTCTAGTTTAACTTCATCTCAAATTTTCTTACACAGCCGCACGTTCTTATGAGTCTGAGTAAAATGATCATTTAGTCTAGTGACACCTGTGATAATTTTTGTTGCAATAGTTACACTTTATATACATATAAAGCCTTTTTTCGCCCTCTATTTATCTAATACAACTTCCATGACATACTTAGCAATATCTTCTCTCTTAAACCCAAATTTCACCACTGTAGTTGATAAAGGACCTGTAGAACATAAATGAGAAAAATTAACTACAGAAAATGTTCATTTATTCTTATGACACCTTCTGTGATAATTTTTGTTGCAATAGTTACACTTCATTAGCAATATCTTCTCTCTTAAACCCAAATTTCACCACTGTAGTTGATAAAGGACCTGTAGAACATAAATGAGAAAAATTAACTACAGAAAATGTTCATTTATTCTTATGACACCTTCTGTGATAATTTTTGTTGCAATATTTACACTTCATATATATATATATATATATATATATATAGCTTTTCTTCGCCCTCTCTGTATCTAATACAACTTTCATGACATACTTACAAAGCAATATCTTTTCTCTCAACACCAAATTTCACCATTGTACTTTATAAAGGACCAGTAGATCATAAAAGAAAAGAAAAATTAAATACAAAATATGATCCTTTAGTCTTCTGACACCTTCTGTGATAGTTTTTGTTGCAATAGTTACACTTGCTGTATATAGCCTTTCTTCCTCTTCTCTGCATCTAATACAACTTCCATCACATACTTACAAAGCAATATCTTTTCTCTTAGCACCAAATTTCACCAATGTAGTTTATAAAGAGTAGAACATGAAAGAATAAAAAATTAAATACAGAAAATCTTCAAATACAGTAGTCTAATAATTTTTTTTTATAAAACAATTATTTATGAAGAACATACAATTACAATTTCAACTATTTTTAATGCCTAAAACAATGTTAATCATCTTGCACTTCAATGTCTTATAATGGAGAAAATAATCCAATAAATTTGACTAAATATCATGAAAAATCGAGTGCGCATTGATTCATTGAATCATATACAATGCTCTTCTTTGTTTGAGCTATTGGAGCAATGGTTATTAATTTCATTTCCCCTGATCTCTCTAAGCTTTCCAAAAAATTATGGGTTGGTGTTTGGTTACAATTAATTCTTAATGATTTCCTATTTTGGTGATTTTCTTTTCACCTATCAATCTCGTGCTCTTTGTTGGCTTGTTTTTTTAAATGCAAACATTGTACAATTTTTCAGCAGGTTGCTTTATTTGTAGCTTAGGACTGCCATCGGCTAACCATGTACTGCAATTTTTGAGAAACTATTTATGGGAATTGAAATATTATTAGCTTTTCTATGGCCTGTAAATCTCTTAGGAAAAGGCGAGGTGTCAAAGTCTGCCTTTGACTAATCATTCACTTGAAGTCATCACTACGTTGGCTATATTTCTGAATCATTTTGATCTCATTTAATAATTTCATACCAGTTAACTACAAAAATTTGAAGCGCGTATTTATGTGCATTTTTTAAGCCTTAATATGTTTAAGATCAGTCGAGTGCAAATTTACCAGCAAGAATAGACTTTATTTAGTTTGAGACTCTTATAAGGTATTTATTAGGAGAATGTAACTTTTGAACGTCACAAGAAAAGAAAGAAAGAAAGAAAGAAAGCAAGGATAGGGAAAAAAAATAGAGGGGGAAGAAAATGAATAAATCAAGGGAGAGTTTATGATTATTATCCACTCTTTCATGTTTGAGTTGTTGAACAGGATCATCTTGTGGAATCAGTGATCCCGGAGAACACAACCACATGCTTAAACCTGTGGCTACTATACAAAAGAGAAGGCTATGTGCTGCAATAATGGTTGGAAAGAAGAGATTCCATATGGATATAGATTATTTTGTTGGATTTATTGTAAATATTGTCTAATCTTCTTCCCATCTGTAAAAGTTCTCTAGAATTTTTTTTTGCGGGGAACCTTAGTAATGATAATGGAGCTTGTTGTGAGGCAATTTAATTGGCACATGGCAAAGAGGGGCTTTGAAAACAAAGCTGACCCGTAAAAATTGAATTAATGCTATTAATGCTTATCAAATTAATTTATAAGGTTTAGGAACTTCTAGAAATTCATTTTATTGATGTGGCAATTGAATTAGAAAATCTTTAATTATTTTGGTTCGCGTCCTCTTGGATATTAGGATATAAAATTTGTCTATATGAAACTTAGTGAGATTCAATGAGACTCCAAACTTGGTGTGTTGCTGGCGTATGAAGCCCACACAAATGCATCATTTAGGGAGGAGCTGATATATGTATTCATATCCCTTATATGTTAGAGATGCTGCCTTCACCACTCAAATCCTATGACCTATAGCTCACAATAGAGTAAATTAATAACTGCTTTAGGGTTTCCTCTAATGATCCCAGACTAAGATGATCTTTTTGATTGATGAAATATTGTTCCTTATGCAGGCAATTAACCCTCCCTCCCTCCCTCCCTCCCTCTCTAAATATGTTATCTTAAGTCTCTCTCTCTCTCTCTCTCTCTCTCTCTCCCTCCTCCCCTTCCTTCCCGCCCGCTCCCACACACACACACACACACTGTCTCTCTAAATATGTTATCTTAAGAGAATATATAATTAATTTACAAAATATTACTTAATTTTTTGAAACTAAGTATTCGATCGAGCATATTTATGGCCTTTTTTTTTGTGAAAGTTAAAGGTTCAATGTATTGTTTTTTGTCTTGATATTATATATTTTATTAGCTTGGTAGTGTTATTTGTTAGTCTTATGATTATCTTCATGTTGATAGTTTTTTTGCATTTATTTATCTTCCATTAACTTTTATGTGCATTAGCAGTCACATTCTTATATTCCACTTATTTGAAGTAGAAAGGAATGATATCTCGCCAATAGAGACTCCCAAACTTTGATTATGTTATCAAGATAAATATTTTAGATGCATATAAGCCGTAATTTTATTCACTTACATATAATTTAATATCGAAACATTTCTTTTCCATCATCTGGCAATTTGACAAGCGATCCAATTATATAATATAGAAGTAATTGCTAAGTGGCTTCAAAATCTTTTCTTTATTGCTAAACATAACTAGCATCATAAACTATCAATGAAAATCAAATTGCATGCGTACATCATCATCGTTATTATATGGAAGATTTACATGCATACCACTCAATTCCTGTATATTTACATATCTAACACCAAAAATTCAATTTTTACATGCACACCATCTTTCCTATGCTTGAAATGTATAATTTATGTGATTATGAAATATTTGTGTGGTATAAACTTAAGAATCAAAATTTAGTTGCCAGATCTGTAGATTCATAGAAATTGAGTGGTGTAAATGTAAATGCCTTATTATTATTTTCACGCTCCACGTGCAGGTGACCGAGAATGGGAAGCAGGAGAGGCATCTTGTTGCAACAGTTGGAAAATTCAGCGTAATCTGGAACTTCCTCCAGGTGAAGAAGAGCGGCCATGAATGCTATCGCAACCAGGAAGGCTTGAAGAGCTGCTACTGCTACCGCATTGTTCCCAAGGATGAATCCATTGTCGATAGCCGTTTTATGCATGAGAAATTCGCTGGAACTGACTCGCCGGACGCTCCGCTGGTGGTTGCCACTCCCATGAAGGTTAGCTCCTTCAGCATCTCCGGCCACCGCTGATCTCTAATTACTGTTTAATCAATCCTTCTTACTGGTCGGATTTCTGCTATGTTTTTGCGTTTGATAACCTTTGAATTCGTTTGTTTTTTTTATATATAAAAATTGTGTAACTTTTTTTTAGCAGCACTTCATCGTGCTTCTTGTGGATATATGTTTTTATTTTTATTTTTATTGGATTATGAATTATAGCCGTTGAAGCTTTGAACTATTGTAACTTGGCATGGTTCTTTTTAAAAACGGAAGATTTACATGCATACCATTCAATTTCTATGTATTGCATATAACACCTAAACTTCAATGTTTTCCTATACGTGTCATCATCTTATCAATGCATGAAAAAGTGTATTTTAAGTGGCATAAATGTTAAAAATGAAGTATAGGCGTTAGATATGTAAATACATATGAATTGAATGGTATGTATGTAAATGCGCCTTCAATTATGTGTGAATATGATTGCATATTATCCATGTATCTGTAAAACTTAGTTAATTTTTGTATGTGTGTGAATATGATTGCATATTATCCATGTATCTGTGTGTGCTTTTATATTCATATTTCTCAGTTATATTTTATGTATGGGATGGACATCTGATCGATGATGAAATGATTTGAATATTTCTATACCCATTTGTCTATTAATGAACGCAATTGTCGATAAATAGCACCTTAATAATTCGATGTGGTACATTGTTACAGTGTTATTGTTTATGAACTTCTAAAATTTCTCATTTTATCTTATTATATTAAACTTATATATCTTGTATGGTTTAAATAGTCTCTGAAAATATAATTGTGAAAAATGCTAGTAATAATCGCAATTTATAATATTAATTTAATTATTTATTTTTATTAATATTTGAAGTTCAACTAAAATGATTTTCTTATTTTCAGCTCATGTACATGTTTTTATTAGATAAACGGTTAAAAATTCAGCATATCAAAATATATTTTTATAGGCTCATCAGAGGCTCAATCCAAACTTTAGTTTTTTTGTGTCCAATGATATAAGGCAGTTGAGTATTGGACGAAGATTAAGCACACACATAGATAAAAGAGAAGCAGAAGATGACACTTCAATTTTTTTGTGAAAATTGCTTGAAATAATAAGAACACGTGGTTACAGTCGAAATAATCAATTTTATAATTATGTACATACACACTTTTCTCATGAATTAGGGAGGATAAAATTGCAAAGCTTGTTTAAAATAATTTTTCAGCAACAATGTAACGTGCCTCGAAAGCCGTAATTGATTGTTATAATGATAGAAAATGTTGTGGATTTAGCCTGAAGATTGTTAATCGCTCAAAAATTGATTTGAATTTTAGCTCTGAACAATATTGGATTGAAATGAATGAGTCGAGCTATGAGGCAAAACTTTGGATCAGATTTTTTGTTGATCGGATTTCGAACTGGCTTGAGATCAACTCAAATAATATTTTTTATTTATAAAAATTATATATGCTGCAAACTAAAATCAAATATAACAAAAGCATTTTGATCTTAAACCCTTCCAAATAACTCAATGTGAGCCACACTTGAGGCTTCTTTGAGGGTGAGTTTCAACTCCGTAGCAGAGAAAATTGAGAAGGGTTGTTGGGATGGTAAGCTTCGCCGGACTTCGGTTCCATCGAAACGGAGATTTTGCTCAAATTAAGAACGCGATGAGGCCATTGCTTTCGGCACTACAATCTGCGATAGGTCCTGATTTCTCCTTCGATTCGCTCGTCTTTTCGCTGCTTCTCTCCTATTTTTTGGATGAACAAGTTCTTACTCAAATTAGATTGTAAAAAACAATTTCTCATTACAATTATTTAAAAAAAAAAGGATAAAAAATATAATTTAATGAAAGATCTTCTTAATTAATTAGCGAGTGGGGTAGCAAAGGAGAGCTGTCATGTTGGTCATTTTCATTTAAAAGCGAACTTTAATGAAATTGTGTGGGGTTGGATCAGACGTGAGATAATGTGATCTATTCCATCGCTAATTCAATAGATAATGGAGGGAGGAAGTTTATTGGATCTTTACTTCTACCGTCAAATTTCCTCTTTTTCACCTTTATTGCTCGTCACATCATGAAATTATTTGGTTCAGATCAGAACTTAATTTTTTACGAATTTCAAGCAAAATTGATTTTCTTCTACCATATATATGGTATAATTTTTTTATTATTATTGTTTGTGAGACATATGTAGCACGAATCTTGAGATAAATGGATTGCTCTAACTCGTAGACGAGCATCTAATTTGGATAGTGGCGCAAGTAGGGGGTGGAGCAACTTATTCGAGCGATCAATAGAGTGTGCCACATGATCTCTCATAAGGCGGTGATTGGCTATCAGGAAGATCGGGAAGGATCATATGTCATCGGAATCAAGCTGTAGTAGGCAGCCAGCGAACTTCGTGTCTATCGAATCAGTCTTCTAATTTTATTATATGCAAATACTTCTAAAAACTACCAAAAAATTCCCCTGACAAATTAATGGGACTAATGTGTAATGGGACATGTGCCTATAAATAGGGAGGTCCATATCATAAAAAAAGGGGACACTCTTTCTATTGTTCTTTATTGCACCATCACTCTCTCTCTCTCTCTCTTCTCAATGCTTTATCTCTCTCTCTCTCTCTCTCTCTCTCTCTCCCACCCTCCCTATAAAACTCTTTATAACTTTGGCCCACCCTCCCTATAAAACACTTTATAACTTTGGCGTATTTTTAGACATTTTTTATTCAACATCTTTTAAGATGTGGTGAGCGTGGAAACATGTTGTCAATAAGAAAAGGAGTCCAACAACAACAACAAAGAGAATTCAATCAAAGGAACGTGGTGGAAGCAGAATGCATTAGGGGGTTCATGGAAGAATTTGTCCAATAAGGCTTGCAGGATTTGAGATCTCAGATCACCAACCAAATGTCAGGATAATTTACAGACGTACTTAGAGCCATGATTGCCTTGGGGGTAGTCTCTGTCCCATAAAGAGAATCGGCCTAGTGAGACAATAAGTCACAAAATTAATCTTACAAAAAACTAATTAAAATATTCTCACATAAATTATTTTCTTTTAAAATATTAGAAAATAAACCTAAAATTACGATGCATAGACACTCTTAACTAAAGAGTTATGTAATGTTGGACGTCGACACGTGCCTCCCATTAGGGGTGTAAACGAACCGAACACGAACGAACAAAGCATGTGTTCGTGTTCGGTTCGTTTAAAATTTAGTTTGTTTGAAATAAGCTCGTGTTCGTTTCTTAACGAACGAGTCGAACACGAACCGAA